TAAGTTATTGCTGTAAAACTAATATGAAGTGTGTTTTAAACTAGTTGTTTCTACATAGAAAAGACACTCACTACATTTGTATGCTACAAGAAAGATTGAAAAGATCAAGTGAGCTGATTTTTACATTCCTGGTGATTGCCAACTTTCTAGAAATATATTAAACACAACAATCTTTCTACTTGTGTTGAGACTTTATGATTTAAATACATGTACACCAATCAGTACAGTTGTTGCTTATCTTTAAGATTGTCCGTCTCAGAATAAACAGCTTAAGCGTATTAGCCCCCAATACACATTTCTTCTTTGTCATCATAGTATTATACAAAAAACTAGAAACTATCAAATTCAACTGGCTTAGCATCCATGATCAAGCAATTTTTTGACCTCTAGTTCTAGTTAGCACTCACACATCCAAATTTAACAGTCTTGTCAAGAAACCTGGTCATTTGGACATCATTTAATCATTGTTCTGAACAATAAAAATATAGTGTTTTCTATTGTGAATATCATGAATGAAGCATGAAAGGTTTACCTATACTTTAGCTGTTATAATACTTCCTTACATGTATGTGCTACTTATCTTTCGAAAATTACTAATCACCAGTTACAAAAATAAAATAGATTGTTTTTACCGCCAATACATTGCATTCAATATTGTCAACATTTGGTAATTCACAAAAAATTTCGTCAATACAGCACATCATTTTGACTGAAGGTTGTATTTTAATCCTGTTGTTTTTTGCAGATCAAATTATGCAGCAATACGTCAAAATCAAACAATTCAAGAACTAATATAATTATAAATTGTTTTTCCACAAGCTCAAATAAGTTGTAAATACTGATGGTACTAATTACTATAATAACAAGCAGCCTCTCGGCTGAGATAGCTCCGCTGTTAGCAATGCATGTTTCAATTAAAGAACTGAAGATATCATTAGAAAATGAACAAACTGAGGAGGTCTACTTGTACTACCTATATGGATAATATCAAAACAATCGGACTTGCAGTTTTCAGAAGAAAAAAATATCACCTAAATTTCTACAAAAAATGACAAAAATATTCATCAAAATTAGGTAATTGAAGAAATCATCCCGAAATGAACAAATCTGAGAAAGGTCCACATGTAGTACCTATATGTATAATATCAAAGCGATTTGACTTGCAGTTTTTAACAAGAACTTGAAAATATAACTTGTTATCAGACAAAACTACTCGTTTTGTAAAATAATGTTTTACGTTTTCTCCAAGACATGTACAATTTTGTCACACAGAGAGAAAAATTTGCATTTTGGAAGGGGGTGATGGTACAAAACATTAACAATAAATAATTTTTTTTGAGAATCCAAAATGCCTAATTATTGCATTAACTAGATATTTAAAGTACATTAGAAAAATAAAACAAAATTTAATAAACAAAACATGTGATAACTAAAGTCTAATATTTGCTTTGCCAAGCACTACTGTTTTCATAACACAAGTCACGATGTGGATTTGGACCATATGTCACTTGACAGGGCACGCATGCACAGATGAGATGTCTTGACCATGTTTACTGTACGCAATTTGGATGAAAAAAGTTTCGAACATAAATTACAATTTGATTATGACTAATAAAGATGCATCAACAAACATTCACGGTGAAAGGGGAAACATTAACATCTTTCAAGTCAGCCCTTCGATGGTGTGTCACTGCATTCAAACATCGGTAGCAATCGGGGTCAATGCACGCATGACACAGTCTATAAGTACACATCATGTGCTGGCCATGCTTATTTTGCATGACGATATCCGGCCAGCCGAGCCTGCCAACAGTAAACAAACGGGGAAAAAATGTCCAAATAAACTTAAAAAGTACCCGGTAGTAATCAATTGGCAGTCACAAGAGAGGGCTGCAAAACCTCAGCTAAGCCCATGTGTCACGGGATGGGGGATTGCGATGTCTACTTCAGCCCACTGTATACGTGAACTACACTATACGAATCCTCCGAAATAACATAGTATTGATTAGAATAAAACTTAGTACCTGCTTAGCAACTAGGTTATGTGCCGATATAAACAATTTTGTTTGTCCATTTCAAAGTTTATAATACCAAAATTTTTACAGTATGAACCTCATTGAACAACTAGCATGATGGTGATATTTAACTATTTTGACCTTGACTGATGACAAATATGTTTGTAAATAAGTTTATTCACACGAAACAAATGAATCAGCAATGTAAAAAAATAACAAACGTATCCCAAAACAAAACTAATACATCACTGCTAAAGGTATAAATAGTTTTAAATCTTCATAGAATGGACAGAGTGTGAATACTAGTATTATCAAGCAAACAAAATGATGGAGTTTTCAGTTATAATCAGAATGTTAACAGTGTTCTCCCCAGGATTATTTTTAACAGTTCGGATAATTTACATAACATTTGAATTAGAATAAAGCATATGCAAATTTAGGTTGTAAATATCATATCTATTGTTATACTAACCATGGACTAGACTATACATCACATTTATGTAATACGTACATTGTAAAGACTACTGTAATGAAGTTTCAGATTAATTTGTATTATTAAATCATGGTTGTCATCATAATTATAAATTAACAAAATAAAATTATTAATTTATGTATATAAACAAATTCATTAAATCAATAGCTTTTTTGACAGTCGATAGTTTATTTAATCAAGCTTCGTGGTAAGTGACTTTCGCGGTAAGTGGGTTTCGTATTGGGTGGGTCTCGCAGGGAGTGGGGCTTTGTCGCAGTAACTGGTCCTTTCATCGTTGTTGAGAATTAAAATTTTACGTTTCTTTAACAACTTGCACTATTCTGGGAATACCATCCTTAGAAGCTATTAATTTGCTCTTATGATTTGTGCAGTTCCTCTGGCAGGAGTTAAAATGATTGTACACACATTAACAATGACAACAGCGCCGGACAGAAATTTTACCCTTAATATACCTTTCCCTTCTATCTTTAATAAGTCTCACACAACAATCATTGAGTTGAATAAGATAATAGATGTAAAACAATAATTTGCAGACCATATAACTATGACAAGGACATACAGAAAAAGTGAGCAAAATGGACGTCCAGCTTTACTTGAACTAACAACATCCATGCATTGTCCAAAGGCACCTATGCACCAACTTGCATTGAAGGTAATGATTAGTTCATTAGAAAAGATTAAAATTCAATAGTTATCATGCAAATTAGGTCATTAGTATGCACATTGTAATCCAAAACTAATTAGGTCTGCACAGTGACCAAGATCATCTATCCACCCAGTTTCATTGAAATATGATGTTTAATTTTTGAGAAATCAGTAGCTAATAATTTTTATGTTTTATTATGCAAATTGGGTAATTATTATGCACAGATTTCAACCTAAATTGTACATACACACACAGAAAAGGTAAACCCAAGGCAGAGACAAACAGTATTTGTTTATATTAAGTAAGTATTTTTATTTTTAAGAATTTTGTGCCAGATGACAGTTGTGGCCATTCAATGTCACTTTTGTTGCATCATATATGTGCAAATATAAAGGCATATTCAATGTAATAATCATAATGGAATAACAGTAGTGTGCAATCCAAAACTAAATATCAATGTACTATAGCTGCAGGATTAGAATACATTTCGTATTATTTACAATTCTATGTACTTGAGAGCACAGAAAATTCAGGACACTTTTACTACTCATTATTGTAGTTAAGTGCATCAAAAGATTTTGATGAATAGCAGATAAGGGTCAAAGTTCACAGCTAGTAGAAGTGCAATACACAATAATGGACTGAAAACTAATGAGCACTCTAATCCATTATTGAACAAGAGTACATGAAGCATTCTGCTGAGTGTCCAGTTTTTGCAGATAAGCTGAATTGAACATCAAGATCCAATTCTGGAACAGCAGAAATGCTTGATTTTATTGAATTTCCAGTAAAATCGAATCACAAAACCGAAAGACATACATATGTAAAATATGCATATAATTGAACTAATTGCACTGAATTCTTTTAAGGAACTTCTCTCAATGAGCATGTGCTGGGGCACTGTTTGGAAAGCTACAATATTTTATATTGCATTTGTCAATGAGGGCGCCCTTATACCCACAGGATGTTCTCTGATCAATGAAAATTTTTTGACAGCCAATGAGGTTCACAGAATAAACATGAATTTAATTTCCCACTGTCAGTCTTTGAGACAACACTGGACAACAATAAACGCATACAATACATTGAGAAAATTGAACAAAAAACAATAAACAAACTAAATCATCATTAACCAAAAATTAAAAACAGAGCAACAATGAAATTATGAATAATAAATAATTTACAGCATATTTCTTTGAAATGCCTTGGTTAAATTGAGGGAATAGTGAAGTCAGTACAGCGCCACCCCCCTCCCTAATACATGCATCAAACTATGCAGACGATGGAGTGAGGTAATGATAATGGTGATGGGAAAGTGGGGTGAAAAGTGCCTGTATAGATGAGTAAATA